AGGGGTCATTCTCTTCCCCAGAGCGGGAGCACAACTATCAATTACATTTATGCCAGTAATGTTTCCATAGTAAATTTAGATACGCACTGGGGGGTGTGGTAGTAGGGGCCTAGTCGTGGTGCTGTGCAAAAATAAGGCTTGATTGGGCAAGATTAGATGGTCTTCGTTCCAGGGCGATAGCAGCGCAAGCGAGACCATGTCCTAGAAACTCTCCCAAAAAATCTGTTTCTGAAGACTGCCGATCGAGCGATGAAATAGTCTTACTTTAATCTGAAATCTGACCTTGGAATACATTGTTTAGAAATTCAGCTCCTCTAGTCATTGTCAATCTTGTTGGAGTACGTAACTCTTTGGCTTCAAGAAAGTGGTAGCATCGCCTCTAAAAGCGCTAATGTATTTTACCGTGCTTTCTAGGATATAAGCCCGCTCTTCGCGCTGCAGATTTTCAAGAGGGAACCTGATTTTATATTTCCTTCGTTTTCTACTCAGTTTATGGATAGGTTTCTCGCGAGCTGGGTTATGAAACAGTGTAAGATATTGTGTTGCCATGAAAAAATCGGAAAATGCTCACTGCTTAAGCCTTGGGTGTTTCAGCGCCTAGGGAGGGCCACAGCAGTGAAGCGTCCCCAAGCGTCTACCCTTTGTGAAATGTGGTTTGAACCTCAGAAAACTAGGCAACAGTATCAAAAACTGTAGCTCCCATGTACAGCCAATGAAGTTTTGTCATGCTCCATTTTGCTCGGAATAGCTTGAGCAATCAAAGAGGCTTCGCCCTGCAGAGCTAATGGGTACGGCTCGTCGTCTATTCTGTGGGTATTCTAAGGGTATCCCCTATTCTGCTTGGTGAACTTAGTTCCATGTGGCCTGGGATGGAGCATTTTACACCTTCCTCAACTCCTATCGTGTGTCGAACCATCAAGTACAGAACTGTGAAATCTTGTGAAGTGATACCAGTCACAATCTGTAGAGACTACTTGTCACCCTTGTGAAGGGCAAAATGAGCCCCCCTCCAGTGCCAATCATTCTTTTTACCCCATCTTTCACTCAGTTTTCTTCCTTTTTCCTTTGTAAATGCCTTTTCTCTTTGCGAAAACTTCAGGCGAATAGTATCGCCTAATTAAAATTCAGCTTTATCAGTGTCAGAAAGTCAACATTTCAGAATGGTGCAGTACAAGCTGAAGTATTTCGATGGACGAGGAATGGCTGAGATCATTCGACAGGTTAGCACGCTCAAGAACGTTTGTGTGGGGATGTGGGAATAGGAGTGAAGCTTTCCAGAGTAGAAGTGTCCAACTTCTTCCTTCGTAAAACCCCTCTCCAGACTATTTCCGTCGAAAACAAATTTAAGAGCTTCCTCAAGCCAGATGTCATCCATAATAGTGGCAACTGACATCCAGCAAGGTATATCTCTTTCAGGTGTTCACGGTCGCAGGTCAAGAGTTTGAGGACGTACGCTACTCATTTGAAGAGTGGCCAAAACACAAAGATGGTGCGTATTGGTTTTGTATTTCAGCTACATTCCACCCTGGTTGTATGGGGGAGTCACTCTGCCCACTGCATTTCTTCCATTGGTTCACTTCTCAAAAAGAAGCGCCGTACTTGGGCAAGTGACCCCGCCTAAACGGTAATCGTGGAACATGCCATAAATGATTTCCTTGATGAACGAACTGAATTTGAAGAAATGCCATTCGGTCAAATGCCAGTGCTTGAAGTCGACGGCAAGCCGCTCTCGCAGTCATTCGCTATTCTTCGCTATCTAGGCAGAAAGTTCGGTAAGGACGCTTCGGCTCCAATACCTTATGTTCTGGTGGTGATAGTGAACTCGTCCTAGGTCTTTCTGGAAAGAACGCGTGGGAAGAGGCGACGGTCGACTCAGTTGGCGACCAAATCAAAGACTTACGTCTTGGAGATACGTCCGTTCATCAGAGCCTCAGCCGGACTCGCTCCTGGAGATCCAGTGAGTTTTACCTTACCATTTTCTTGTTTGTAATCCCTGCACCATTCCCATGGGTGAGGAAGTTCGAGAGATCTACGTGAATTTATTGGAGCTCTCCAAGGCCTGTCTATTTA